CTGCTTTGGCAAGGGAAGCAAAAGAAGAAAAATAAATGGGACTACGTCAAACTAAAAAAGCTTTTGCACAACAAGGAAACTATCAACCATCCAGTTCTATGAAAAATTAAAAGACAACCTATTGAATGGGACAAAATATTATTCACCAATGATAACATTCAGTGAAGGGGTTAATATCCAAAATATAATTCATACAACTTAACACTAAAAAAGAAAAAATCTGACTCAAAAATGGGCAGAGGACCTGAATAGACATTTCTCCAGAGGAACTACAGATGGCCAGTAGTCAAATGAAAGATGCAGGGAAATGCAAATTAAAATCACAATGAGATATCACCTCGTACCAGTCAGAATGGCTATTGTCATACAGATGTTGAAGAGCATATGGAGAAAGGGGGACCCTTGAGCACTGTTGGTGGGAATGCAGATTGCTGCAGCCACTATGGAGAACAATATGGAAGTTCCTCAGGAAACTAAAATGGAACTGCCTTATTACCCAAGGATTCCACTTCTGGATATATATTTGAAGAAACCTAAAACACTAATTTTAAGGGATATATGCACCCCTATGTTTGTTGCATCATTATGTACTATAGCTATATATGGAAGCAACCCAAGTGCCTGACAATAAACAAGTGGATAAAAAAGTGGTGGTACGCATATACAAAGGGAAATTACTTGGCCATAAGAATGAATGAAATTTTACCTTTTGCAGAGCATGCAGGGTATTATGCTTAGTGAAATAAGTCAGACAAAGACAAATACCATATTATTTCACTTATGTGGAATCTAAAAAACAAAATAAAATAAACAAATCAGAAATAGATACAGAAACAAACTGATGGTTGCCAGAGTGGAGGGGGTCAGGGGGCTGGGTGAAGGTGAAGGGATCAAGAAGTACAAATTGGCGGTTGCAGAATAGTAACGGGGATATCAAGTACAGCATAGGGAATATAATCCATAATATTGTAATAATAGTCGGGTGCTAGGTGGGTACTTGAAATATCAGGGGGAATTGCTATGATTTTCCACTATGCTGTACACCTGAAACTAATATAATATTGGCTGTCAACTATAATTGAAAAATGAAATTAAATAATTTGAAAAGATATATGCACTCCTGTGTTTGTTACACCATTATTTACGATAGCCAAGTAATGGAAGCAACTTTGAATGTTCGTCAATAGGTGAATAGATACAGAAGTGGTACATATATACAATGGAACATTATTTGGCCATAAAAATGAATTAAATCTTGCCATTTGCCTCAACATGGATGGACCTAGTAATATGTTAATTGAAATAAGTCAGAGAAAGCAAACACTATATGATTTCACTTATATAAGGAATCTTTAAAAAATGTTCTAACAAGAAACAAGCCCATAGATAGAATAAATTGATGGTTGCTGGAGTTGGGTAGGGAAATGTCAATTACAGCTTAGGAAATACAGTCAGTAACATTGTAACAGTTATGTATGGTGTCAGATGGGTACTAGACTTATTGGGGTCATCAATATGTAAGTTATATACATGTCTAATCACTGTGGTGTACACCTGAAACTAGTCTCTTCAATAAATGCTGCTGGGCTCTGGCTGCTTTGGCTCAGCAGTTAGAGTGTCATCCCATGGACCAAATAGTCACGGGTTTGATTCTCCATCAAGGGCACATACCTCAGTTGCAGGTTTCGGCCCCAGTCGGGGTCATGTGGGAATGTCTCACGTTGATGTTTCTTTGTTTTTTTTTCTTTCCCTCCTTCCCTCTCTCCCTCCCTCCCTCCCACTTTTTCTAAAAAAAAATCAATGGAAAAATATCCTTGGGTGAGGATTAAAAAATAAATAAATACTCTTGGGAAAACTGGACAGTTAACATGCAAAAGAACGAGACTGGACCACTCTTGTACACCATACACAAAATCAACTCAAAATGTATGAAAGTCTTGCCCTGGCCGGTTTGGTTCAGTGGTTAGAGCATCGGCCTGCGGTCCTGAGAGACCCGGGTTCGGTTCCCGCTAAGGGTGCGTACCTCGGCTGCAGTTTGTCCCCGGCCCTGGTCAGTTGTGCGGGTGGCAGCCACTCGATGTGTTCCTTTCACATCGATATTTCTCTCTCTCTCTCTGTTCCTCTCTCTCCCTCCCACTCTACCTGAACAAAAAATGGAAAAATGTCCTCCAGTGAGGATAAAAAAAAAAAAAATGTATGAAAGTCTTGAACCTAAGAACTAAAACCATAAAAGTCCTAGAGTAAAAATAGGCTATGAGCTTCTTGACATTGATCAAGAGCCATGGCAATAACCAGTAGAACTAATAGCAAATGATTTAAAATGATTTCCTCAAGGAAAGTGTGAAGCCAGGTATATTTAAGTTTTCCAATAACTGCATCAAATACCAAAAAATTATTTTTATTTAACATTCTTATCCATATTGACAAAACTGGTTCATCTTTAGAAGAACTAGTTTGACTTTGTTAAATTTATTTCTAAATATTTTACTTTTTTGATGCTATTAAAAATAGAATTCTTAGTTTCATTTTTGAAATTTGTACGTTAAACCTTTTATCACTGTGAAGTATGTTCCTCTTTGTCCATAGTAATATTCCTTTGTTCAAAAGTTTGTTTTGTCTGGCTTATAGTTACTCTAATTCTTTTAGGATTATTGATTTTTAAAATATGTAAATTACATATTTAGAACAAAAGAGTAGAAACACGTGTTAACAGTTGTATCTGACTTACTGAATTATGAGGTTCATGTTTTTCTATGTATTCTGAGTTCTATGATGCGTTTGTATTATAATTAGAAAAAAAGATGATTTATATAAATTTTTAAAAATATTTTGTAATCTAGATTTAGGGGGTTGTAGATAGCAGAAATTGATTCTAACAAGTAGAAGAATGTAGCAGATGCAGGACCATAGAACAACCGGAAAGCCGGAGGGAGCATCAGGCTCAGAAGATGCCAGAGGTGTGGCAGCTGGAGGACTCCAGATAGCAAAACCTTCTCGGCGGTCTCCGCCGGGTGATGCCACGGAGATGCATAAATGAGCTCCAACTCCTTGTTCTCCCCTTTGATCTCTCCGGTCAGTATTCAGAATCCAGAAGTGAGCATCCTGCTTGAGTCAAATGAATGTTTGACACTTGGCAAGGAAAGTACGTAGCACCTTGAGTTATAGTCCCAGGAGTCCACACGATGGGGACAAATGATTCCCCAAAATGAAGTTAGAATGCACTTATCAAAAGAAGGGAAATGAACTCTGGGAGCTACAAAAGCAACAGGTTCACTATAATATTTAACTTTGTGTTAATGCAGAATTATAGTTTACAATGCTAGTCATAAACGCTATTAAAATGAATACTTTGTTCTGAGTACAGTGATCCCAATTATTGTCACTTAACCTATGTTGGAGGATTTACCACATTGAAGTTCTTACAGATTTCCCTCCCACTTAACTGAGTTCCATGTGTTCCATAAAGCAGTTAAATTAGAAAATGAGGAAATAGAGCCTTATATTCATATTGAAGAGGACTTTGTAATTATTTCACACTTCCTAGAATCTGTCATCTTCTTCCTGGTTTATCCGTTCATCTTGTACAGTCAGCAAGACTCAGCTCAGGCATTACCTCATCCAGAAAGACTCTTACACATCCCATCCTGCATTACAAGTCACCCATCACGGTGCATGACACCATTATTGTTCTCATCCCACTGGTTCATACTGGTTGATTTGTCTTTCACACCAGCCAGGCTGGCAGACTGTCTTGATTTTCTTTGAGTCTCCAGCCCCTTACAGTGTCCACACATCAGACATTCCGTCAGTAGTTGTTGAGTGAGTGAATGGATTTGCCAGAGAAAGGGGTTAAGGCATTGCATTTGGAACCCGGTATATATAAAGGCATGGCACATGGTATGTTCAGGAATGGTGAGAAGGATCAGAGCATAGAAAGATTAATGGAAGAAGAGACTGGTGATTTTGACTACAGTTGGTCTTTGAAGGACCACCTGTGCCAAGTTTAGACAGCTCTGTAGCCTTGGGAACAAATAATGAGATCTGGCAAGGGGAAGACAGGACTTTAGAGATGATTTGGTGCCTAATTCCTGCTTGGGTGGAGCTGGCAGAGCGCCCTCAGGTGGGGGGATAGTGCTGTCTCTGGGACTTACAGGTTCGTGGAGCAAATTCTCTACCACACACTAGGCACTTTTCTAGGTGCTGGGGACACGGTGGTGAATAATATGGACAAGGTTCCTACTCCCATGGAACTTTTATTCTAGTAAAGGAAGACAGGTTAAAACAGTGGATGGACGCAAAGGTATATGTCCGCATTCTCAAACCTAAAACACCGTATTGCAAGTAAATGTTCCAGAACAGCAGCCTCCAAGAAGCATCGAGACAGGCTGGAGAGGATCTTGTCCCCCGAGTGTGACACGGAGCCTCCTCTCCAGCTACATCCCAGCCACTCACCACTACGTGTTTATAAGTATAATGATCAGTATCCCATGTGTTCTTTAGGGCTTCTGTCGAAAATAAACATTTTGTAAGCTCTAGGTTTTAGAAATAATGTATGCAGTAACATTTAGGCACTCCAAAAAATGTTGCAGAGAGGAAAAAAATAATTTTGTCATCCTGATACTTTCTTCTTTAGCAAAAGTGATTTTCCTCTCATTTTATACTGCATCTAGGGATAGTAATTTTTTTAAAGCTTAATTGGGTAAATATATGTTAGTATAAATAAAAGATAGTCATTGGCGATGTGATTGGCAAGCTGTGTGTGTAGTTTACAATTTCTAGTGCCTGAAAAGTAACCTGACATTTTTATAACTTAATCTATAACCTTGCCAAGTGTTTAGGGTTTGGTTTTGTTTTTTTCCCTCAATAGAAGGAACTTCATTTGGGTAAAAGACATTTTAATTCTAGGTGTAAACACGAGCATATGTCAGGTAATCTAGTCTTTCATTCTCTTCTCAGTTGTGGGCTCTTTAATGACAAAGGTGCTTTCCGCTCTTTTCCAGGGTGCTGATAAGACTGTGAAAGGTCCAGATGGACTAACTGCCTTCGAAGCCACTGACAACCAAGCAATCAAAGCCCTGCTTCAGTGATGGCGGGAGGCTGACAGCTCTGGAAGAAGTCTCTCCTGTGGCCTCACACTGCTGCCTGTCTGTCTGTCACTCTCTATCTGCCAGCTTCTTCAGCTAAATACTTTCAGAGGGGTGAGGGGAGAGAGAAATTCATAACAAACCTGACTACCAGAAAAAACCATGTTTTGGAGGAGAGGCAAAAACCACGATCAGGCTTTTACTAGGACTCCTGATCCCGTCGGCCTCTTTTCCATTCCAAAAATACACAGCTTATACCCAAGGGAGAGCAAAGACAAAGTATACCGTAACATTTGACCTTCTCAGCTCCCCAGCTAAGTCATTAATTGGATTGTGTCGAGGGTCTGATTCTACCCAGGCCAACTCTACATATTTGTAGCCCGAGCTGTGTGAGCAGCGGTGGCTGCTGTGGTGTAAACTTAGGGTGCTGAGATAGCAATTAGCTCTAGCCTTCTGCCTTAAGGTGCACTCTTTGGGGACTCTCCTGGTGTAGTCATGAGCGCTGCCTGTGGTTGGTGACCAAATTGTCCCTCAGTGACTTTCAGCTTGACGTGAAAGCTCGGATAAGTTGAGGAGGGGCACACTCCTAAATTGCTAGATGACTGAACATTGGATTTCCTCTCCCCTTTCACGTGGATTTATTTCATGTATCTTTAGGTAAAACTGACTAGTTTTATTTATAAAATCTTAAATTTTGGAAGTCTATAGGAGAAACCATTCCAGTATGCATAATTTTTTCTCCTGTAGATTCACACATTTATATAATGTTGAAACACTTTTAAACTCCTGCTGGTAGTAAAAGGGGATGTAAAACTAGAAACATAGCCATAAGCCTGTTAGTGTCATACAAAGAGAACAGTTGTCTTCGTACCTATGGCTTTTCTTCATTTGCTGTTTGACGGGATTGGCCTTGGTTATGTGTGGGGAACAAGGAACACTGTTGGAATGCCTCTCAGACCCATCTTGGATACTGATTACTTACTGCACCAAAGCTATCACTGGGGTGAGATTTACTGTTTGGACAAATTTAACCCCATCTCTTAAAAAATATGCTTATTACCAGGTTTCCCAAGTTGTTGATGAACTTCTGCTGAACATACGCCAGCCCACCTGCATAGTATATTTTTGATTCTTTTCTAAATCATGAATTGCTCAGAGTGTGACACATTCAAAATATATTCTGTGTCCTTAAGCATGTGCCCTAAAATGGTTCTCATGACCTGCAGAAAATTTTTAGACACATTTTCAAATGTTTATTTCATGAGCAGTACAACTAATTAAAACACATACCCTTAAATTTTGCCATTATGCATTTAAAATAGCAAGATTCCATTGACCTGCCACCCATATAAGCTTACTAAAAAATATTACAATTTTTTTCTTATTCATGCCATGCAATAACTGAATGTACCTCAAATTTTTAAAAGGGGGTGGGTGGGTTAGGGACTTGTATTCAGATTGTGGATAATAAAGAATAGTGGATGATTTTTTTAAGTCAATGTAGCATTCAACAGCAGAGTTAAAACGATCAAGAACAGTCAGCCTGGCTAATAACAAGTCTTACTATTGTTGCTGATTGGTTGGTTGTTGTGTGGGTTTGTGTGTGTGTGTTTGTACTTTTCCCCATGAACCCTTTTTTTTATCCTGTGGCTTTTTTCACTTACAGCTAGCCTAACCCTGTATTTTTTCTGCATCCAAGAAAACAATCACAAAATGGTTTAAATACTTTGATACATTTGGCTAATTCTGCTATCTTAATGCAGCCTATTAGAGTCGGATTAAGTCAGTAATCAGTACTTGATTACATCACTGAACTGAAACCTGGAGCTATCCTCATTGAAGGTGGAGGGCACTCTATCAGTCTTCAGCTGTCAACAAGGTGTTTTGATATCTTTGTTTTCACCTTTGGCATCATGTGATCTGAAAGGCTTGGATTTTACCCTCTACACAGTTCTTACCTTTCCACCCTCAGTGTTTTGTTCGAGTTGGCTGTTGCAGAGAGTGCACTGTCCTATCATTCCTGAACCTGGTCTGCTTTCCAGTCACCTGGTGGAGAAGCCATGTGACTCTTGTACAGTTTGCCCTGATGTTCCCCGTGATGCAGTAGAGGCTGCTTCGCCGCCTTCTTTCCCAGCCATTTTGTAAGCCCCATAATTATGAAGAGGTTGCTTGAGAAAATAACATATACACATAGAATAGACTGACCAAGATGGTTTACAATTTTTTTTTTTAACTAGGTTATTTATAATGTATTTCTGAACCACTTGGCAGAAAAATTCACAACACTTACTGTTCATATTTTGAGTAAAGGAAGTTAAAACCATGTCTGCTTTTTTGGTACTACATGCATTAGTGAAAGGTTAAGTTTTATTTTGTTTTTTTTCCCACTGAAGTAATATTTAACATCTCAGCAAAAAACTTGCATGTTCTATAGTTTTGTATGAAGTCAGTCATTTCGTATGCACTATAGCAATTAAAAACAGGTGTGTACAGACACCTGCGTGTTTACTATACTATTGGTATACTAACAGATTCCCCCGTGCAGCTTCAGACTGGTATCTGTAGACTTCCGGTTTAAATAGAGTATACCCGAGTAGTTCTATGCATAGCTCACCCTCTAAACCCCGTGGGGCATGAGGGTCAGTGTGTGGAAGCTGCAAGTAGCCCCTTTATTCATTGATTCTTTCTCCCAGATAATGGAGTTCAAATGTCTATTTACCTATTTGATTTATTTTCCCCTAAAACTTCAACTAAGCTGCTGTTTTCTTCCATGCAATATTGTATACTCGAGTGTGTGTAGAAGCTGGTGAGAGCGCCCTCCTACATAAGCAGTTGCAGTGTTTTGCATGCAAAATTTAAAAATTTTAAATGGTCCTGATTCTATTTTGTAAATGGAGAAACAATCATAGCTTTCTAAGCAGTAACGGAGGAAGACTAGTGCTTTGTGCATTTTGATATATTTGAGTTCATTTTTTCCACAATGTAATACTTTTGACACAATTGGGTTTCTCATATTATCCTAGTTCATGTAAATCAGAATGCTAAATAATACTGTGTTTAAGTTTGTGTTGCAAGAACAAATGGAATAAACTTGAATTGTGCTACAGCTAACATGTCAGTGTTTTTCTCCTTCGGTTACTATCGCCTTCGTTTTCCAGTCTTCTCCGCAACTGGATCAGTGCTTGGATCGACTCGATTCATGTACATTTCTCCCAGAATCCCACTTCTAGGGGAAAATAGTGGAAAGTAAAATAAGACATGGGAACAACTTAAGTGAAATAAACTATACTATATCACACACAAACAGAACCTGACGAAGTGCCCCGCCCAGGCCGCCGAAGCAAACGGGCTGGGCCCGGCAAGCTGGCAACAAGCCTGCAGGTGGTTCTGATGTGCGCCCAAGTTGGAGGACCTTGTACAGACCACAGAGGGAGAAAGAAACAGTCAGAAAGCCTGCAAATAGGATGTCATCAAGGCTGGCTTCCACAAGAAAAATAAGTGCAAGCCTTTGGCACGGGAGACAGCAAACTCTGGCCACCCAAGAAAATCTTACGATCTTCAGAGTTATGTCCAGGACCAAAGAAATCAGGGTAAGGTGGAACTGTGGCCCCAAAGATGGAACACTGGTGAGAATGACCCCTCAGTATTTTAGGGTTTCCCCTGTGGGATACCCTCACGGTTGCTGTGGACAGTATTTCCACAGTCCACAGCAGCCCAGGGTTACACGTCCCCACGGCTGAATTCCTGAGACCTAGGCCTCGCCTAACACTCCTTGAATTCCAAACGGGGGGCTGGTGAGGGAAACACCGAGGAACTTGGGGAGAAGCCTCGTTGCCGCTGCGGGTGAAGCCCTCACGCTGGGGGTGCAGTGTGGCTCCAGCAGCGCAGGCATCGGGGGTGTTGAACTTGTGACTGTTAGTCTGTAGCCTCACGCTTGGCTGACTACCCCGAAAACCAGAATGCTGCCCCCAACCGAACGCCATGCTCCCCGGAAGGAGATTAATGAACGTAGACAGTGTAATAACTGCATGATGTTATCTTCTAACTTAGTGATCCATTGTTCTCTTGAGAGGTCTATTATCTGCCTATTACTATTAATCCCTACTCAGCCCTCTCTAAGAAGGGTCCCTGCTGGAGGGGTGCGGATCCTTCCTGGCCCACTGTCACTAACAGCAGCTGCTTGTCCTGTGTGCGTAAGTTCTCCCATTAATGCTCATGAATTTGATAAGTCTGCCTGTCAGTTCTTCAGAATTGATCCTGACCTCAGACTTCTGGGGGTTGCCCCAACAGCAGGTCACCGTGGGGTTGCAGTCACTGCACGGTGTCCCTGCTGGCTTCTGCCTGCCAGTCCCATGCAAGAGAGAGCCCTTTTGGGAGGCCGGAGCCTTCCCCCCACCCCACTGCCCTGGGCCGGCATCCGTGCCGCGAACATGGAGGCTGCACGGTGGGCTCACCTCGTGCCAAGTATACTGTGTTCCAGGTCAAGTCTGTCCCACCTGCCAAGCCAGGTCATTCCACATCAGGATATTCTTCCACAGCTCGCTCTTCATTGAAATATAATTCCTACTTGAGAAAAGTTATCAGCAGCTTTAATAGTTCCTGACACATGACAAACATTCACTGTCTCGTGAGCTACTAATGTCAAACCATTCTACAGTCAGATGCGAGACAAGCTTCGTGAATCAGCCCTCCTGGCTCAGGGATTACTAGCCACGAGGACTGTGGGCCTACGTGTCATTGTGCACAAGTGGCCTCCTAAATACTAGTGATACTGCACACCAAAATCAGTGAAGTAAAGACAAAGATCACAGTGTCACAATGATTCACAGAGGAAATGCTGGCCATGGAGTCAAAGGCAGGTCGCTGGGCCATGGTGGCGTATCTAGAAACACAACTGTAAACAGAGGAGCAGAACAAAGGATTGCCTGCCCCCCCCTTCCCCCCTTCCCCCCCAGCAACTTGTACACGTTCCCCAGCTTCGGCAGCAAGGAGAGGCTCATTTACAGAGTCTGGATAGATGCCGGCTCACATGTCAGGCGACACACAGCCCAGCTTCTCATCACAAAGGGAAGTAACGCATAGACAGCTCCTGGCCCTGGATGCCCGTTCTGAGGATACCGCCATATCACGAAACCCCTTTTTAAAGAAGCTATCTTTTTCTAAGCTTTTACTGACGAGTCTGAAAATGCATTATGTATCCATATGTCCTTCCTGACATCTAATCACGTTCTGTGCTTCTGCACATCCCCAGGGAGAGTCACCCAGTCCAGCTCCAGCGCCACTGCGCGCGGTTTGCTAGTCCAATGTCAGTCGACTTGAGAGTACTCAGATCTAAGCTAATTTATGTAGTTTTACAACTGGTTTCTAAATGAACATGTCCTGTGTGACAGGAGCTAGGCATTGTGCTGAGAACTTTTTTACCTTATTCACTTTTCACAAGAATGAGATGTTAAAAAGAGACAGACCAAGAGAGGTTAAATAACTTGCGCACAGCCAGTAAATAGCACATGAACAGTGCAATTAACTGTGTCTCATTTTAGAGTGGATGTTCCTACAAATTAAGTGCCAAATCAAAACTGGTCTCACCCAGATATTCAAAACCAATGCTCAGACCTACTCCCTGCCCCCTTGCTTCAGTCTGTGGGGGGGCTCTGGGACTCGGCGCTTTTTCCCCCTAACATTTGATCTCCAGAATTTATTTACTAAAACTCTGTCCACTTTAACCAACACCTCCCCATTTCCCTCTCCCCTAGCCCTTGGCAACCACCATGTAACTCTGCTATGAATTTGACTACAATAGTCCCCCTTTACCCCTGGAGTACATTCCAAGATGCCCAGTGCATGCCTGAACCCGTAGATAGTACTGAATCCTATATATGCTATTTTTCTCCCTATATAGACACACCTCTAATGAAGTTTATAAATTGGGCAAAGAATAATAAAATAGAACAATTATAACAGTAACTAATAATAGAACAATTATAACAATATGCTTATTAAAAGTTATGTGAATGGCACTGGGGCCGTTACTAAGTAAAATGAGGGTGATTTGAACACAAGCACTGTGATACCGTGACTGTTGATTTGATAACTGGGATTACTCCAAAGTGACTCACCGGCAAGGGAGCAAGTACGGTGGGGAGATGACTTATATCCCCAAGCAGGACAGTGTCAGGTTTCATCAGAACAGCACACAATGGGTTTATTTCTGGAATTTTCCATTGAATATTTTTAGAGCACAGTTGACTGCATGTTACTGAAATCTCTGAAAGCAAAACCATGGATAAGTGGGGGACTACTGTCATTCAGATTTTGCATATAAGTGAGATCATGCATTATTTTTGTGTGTGTCTGGCTCATTTCACTTAGCAAAATGCCCTCAAGGTCTATCTATGTTGTTGCAAATGGCAGGATTTTTTTTTTTTTTTTTTTAAGGCTGAATAATGTTACATTGTATATATAGCAGGTGGGGCAAAAGTAGGTCTACAGTTGTTTTAAAAATATAGTAATTAATAATAATACAAGAATAAACTGTGTTTAGTGTACTCACAACTGTAAACTTATTTTTGCCCCACCCTGTTGCCCACATTTTCTTTATCTGTTTGTATATTGATGTACATTTAAGTTGTTTCCGTGTCATGGTTATTGTGAATAATGCTACAATAAATATGGGAATGTAGATAAGATCTCTTCGAGATTTAGAATTCAAGTTCTTTGGATGTATACCCAGAAATGGAATTGTTGGGATACTACATATAGAGAACCCTAAAGAATCCACCAAAGAAAACTCTTAGAACTAAATAAATAAATTCGGTAAAGCAAGATATAAAATTAATATTCACAAATCAGTTGCATTTTTATAGACCAATAGACAACTATAAAAAAGAGAAATTAGGAAAATAATCCCATTTACAATTGCATCAAAAAATAAATAAATTTAACAAAGGAAGTGAAAGACCTGTACTCGGGAAACTGTAAGACATTGAAGAAAGAAACTAAGATACAAATAAATGGAAGCATATACTGTATTCATAGATAGGAAGAAGTAACATCGTTAAAGTGTCCATACTACCCAAAGGTTGAGCGCAATGCCTATCAAAATACCAATGGTATTTTTCACAGAACTAGAACAAATAACTCTAAAATTTATATGGAACCACAGAAGACCCCCAAATATCACAAGCAATCTTGAGAACAAAGTTAGAGGTATCACACCACTTGATATCAAAGCATACTACAAGGCTATAGTAATCAAAACAGCATGGTAGTGGCATAAAAACTGACATATGTCTATATAACAGAATAGAGAATGCAAAAAACCCCACACCTATATGGTCAGTTAGTCTAAACAAAGGAGGCAAGAACATGCAATGGGATAAAGACAGTCTATTAAATAAATGGTGTTGGGAAAACTGGACAGACATGTACAAATACATAAAACTGGATCATTTTCTTATACCTTATATGAGAATAAACAAGTAGATTAAAGACTGAAATGTAAGACCTGAAACCATAGGCAGCAAACTCTTTGATGTCACTTATTTATTTATTTTTTTATCCTCACCTGAGGACATTTTTGCATTTATCTTCAGATAGAGTGGGAGAGGGAGAGAGAGAGACACATCGAGTGGCTGCCACCCACACGACCCCAACTGGGGCCAGGGACAAACTGCAACCAAGGTAGGTGCTCTTATCGGGAACCGAACCCGGAACTCTCTGGTCCGCAGGCCGACGCTCTAACCACTGAGCCAAACCAGCCAGGGCTGGCGTCACTTTTTAGTAATATATTTTTGGATATGTCTCCTTGGGCAAGGGAAACACAAGAAAAAATAAACAAATGGGACTATGTCAAATTAAAAAGTGTTTGCACAGTGAAGGAAACCATAAAAAGAAAAACAAACCCTGGCCAGTTTGGTTTAGCAGTTTGAGCATTGACCCGTGGACCAGAGTTGTGGATTTGATTCCGGTCAAGGGCATGTACCTCAGCTATGGTTTACTTCCTGGTCAGGGTCGTGCAGGAGGCAACCAATCGATGTGTCTCTCTCACGTTGATGTTTCTTTCCCTTCTATCTCCCTGCCCTCCCCCCACACACACACACACTCCAT